GTCCTGCATTTGTATATTTCGGTATACAAATGGGTCCTGCATTTGTATATTTTGGTATACAAATGGGTCCTGCATTTGTATATTTCGGTATACAAATGGGTCCTGCATTTGTATATTTTGGTATACAAATGGGTCCTGCATTTGTATATTTCGGTATACAAATGGGTCCTGCATTTGTATATTTTGGTATACAAATGGGTCCTGCATTTGTATATTTCGGTATACAAATGGGTCCTGCATTTGTATATTTTGGTATACAAATGGGTCCTGCATTTGTATATTTCGGTATACAAATGGGTCCTGCATTTGTATATTTTGGTATACAAATGGGTCCTGCATTTGTATATTTCGGTATACAAATGGGATGGCAAAAAAAAGGGGATGTTTGTTGCAAATTACAAATAAAATAAATTATGACTATAACATTTATTTTGAATTAATAGTTTGTTATTTCATACAATTTTCTCTACTTTTATTTATTAACATTTATAGCAATATATAACAATATTGTGATAAATTTGCTATATGTATTAAAAGTAAATTATCTATGCAATATATATGTATTATAACTATTTTAAAATATATTATGTTTTTTTTTAAAGAAATTGACACATTGTATTATAAGTGTATTAAAATGTGTAATAAATGTATTATCCATCAATAAAACTTGTATTATGTGTTTTATAAATTGTTTTATGTAACATGTAGTAAAACTGTATTATAAATATATTAAAAGTGATCGAGTGAAAAAAAATGTTATGGCTATAAATGGTAAATATTTTCTTTAATATATTTATGCAAGTTTTCAACTATGTACATCAAAGGTTAGCCCAAGTCATAACGATCCGGTCCAATCAGTAAACAACAAAGCAAAAGAAAAGAGCAAAAATTAAAGAAAATCAAAGGTTAAAGAAACTCTAGAAATGAAAAAGGAAAGTGGTAGCTAAGGAGTTCCTGTCTTACTCGACTTCATCAGCCAAAACCAGAGAATATTTTTGGTATAATACATAAACATTACCCATAACTTGGCGTCGATTGTCAGCTATGACCTTAACTAACTTTGTGTTTGCACAAGTATGCACTTAAACTTGAATAAAATTGAACAAATAGACACATTCATCCCACCTGACACCCTACATGACAACTTTTTGTCCTACGTGTATTATGACTTGTAGGACACATGTGTCTACTTGTTCAATTTTATACAAGTTTAAGTGTCTACTTGTTCACATTTAAAGTTAGAGGTCATAGTTGTCTGCTGAAGACAAGTTAAGGGTCATGGTTACGTATTATGCCAATAATTTTTGTGACGTTTAGAACCTCACAAAAATATCAATATCCCCTTCCATGAAAGTGCAGCTACATCTGAAGATCATGAATTCCTTGGATTTTCCAGCTTTGTGCAAACTTGGTAAAAGAATTCTAATTGAAAGTTCACCTGACGTAATTGCCGCCCATGGATTTTGCACTTGAAATGCCTCAACAATGTTCTAGTATGACCTTGGAACTAATAACCAATGAGAAAAAAAATACATAAATATTCATGATTAAACCATATCTTAAAAGTAATATAGATATTCATAAATTTGTTTCAAGTGGAATAGAAAAATGTTTGGAAAACTATAAAAGGAGAAGGCTGGAGGAGAGTAACTTCCACCTACTTCAATTTTTGGAATATGGGAAATGTTGGTTGGACCAGTACTGGGAGTTTGGGCTACTCCGATTGGTGCAACTTTCTTCCAACTTTGGGCAGCGTTTAATTTCCAGGTTCCGTAATTTGGTGAGGGTAGAGAATCCCAGTGCAAACGTCCGAACACCACCAGATCACGAAGGGCCAACAGCTGCATCAAAGAAACGGGGAAACTACGTTTAGTTGAACACTACATAATTTGCATAAGCAGTTGAAGTATCAAAAGAGGATATATTCATCATTTGATGCATTCTTTAGCAGAATACTTAAAATATGAGGTGCTTGATGGGATGTTCCTCTTTTAACCAGATGTCTCGGGTTGGAGCCTTGGGTATTGAAAAATCCTTGGTGGAGAGTGCTTTACCTCGAATTGGGCCCTACACAGCACGAATTTGGAATAGTCGACTTCCTATGCTTGATAAAAGTATAGAGAGACATCACTTTAAAACTTTTTGTAGCACATGTTTTAAAAACAAACAAATAGTTTCACTTAATAATTGTTGGTATTCCCCATTATGAAGAGTAAAATGTTGACAGATTATGTTATCGTTACTAAATATTCATGAAAGTGTCCCGTAATGTCTACGGCCGAAGATTCTGTTCTTCAACCAAACAAATGTGGTGGTGGAACATAACCAACCCTATTTAAACAGTAAAAGAGAAAAAAGTAGTGCAAAAAAACGCATTCCTCTAACAAGTCTAAATGAAAATTGACCTAACGTAATTGCCTGCCATTCATGGATTTTGACTTGATTTACCACAGTGATGTTCAAGTATGACCTTGGAACTAGTAACCTTTAAGGGGAAAAAAAACATAAATTTTCATGAATAAATCATATCTTAAAAGTGATATAGATATACATTACTTGAAGAATTATAAGAAGAACACCAATTTGATTCAAGTGGACTAGCAGAGTGCTGAAAGCATAGCATAGATAAGATGCAATTGACTAATAATTTTGCATTTTTTTAACGTCAAAATAATTGCAGGAGATAGTATTAAATTATATACAGAACTTCTTTCTAGAACTGATAGAAAATAATAATTAAAAATGCGACTCAGACACGGAAAGAGAAACAGAGACTTACGCAAGTCCTGAATTATGCTTCCACCAACTTTAACTTTAGGAATATGGGAAATGTTGGACCACTGGGAGTTTGGGCCACTCCGATTGTTGCAACTTTCTTCTAACTTTGGGCAGCCTTCAATTTCCAGGTTCCGTAATTTGGTGAGGCGTCGTATGGCATCTCTGGATGGCAGATACTCTAGTTTTTTGCAGCTCTGTAACCTTAACTGTTGCAAAGAAACAAGGTTGCCAATCCCATCCGACAGAGCTTCTAACAATGGACAATCACAGATCTCCACATACCATAATTTGGGCATGACATCTGAGAAGTCCAGATGTTGTAGCCGTTTGCACCTCTTAAGACTCTAAGGAGTTCCTGTCTTACTCGACTTCATCAGCCAAAACCAGAGAATATTTTTGGTATAATACATAAACATTACCCATAACTTGGCGTCGATTGTCAGCTATGACCTTAACTAACTTTGTGTTTGCACAAGTATGCACTTAAACTTGAATAAAATTGAACAAATAGACACATTCATCCCACCTGACACCCTACATGACAACTTTTTGTCCTACGTGTATTATGACTTGTAGGACACATGTGTCTACTTGTTCAATTTTATACAAGTTTAAATGTCTACTTGTTCACACTTAAAGTTAGAGGTAATAGTTGTTCGGTAAAGACAAGTTAAGGGTCATGATTATGTATTATGCTAATAATTTTTGTGACGTTTAGAACCTCACAAAAATATCAATATCCCCTTCCATGAAAGTGCAGCTACATCTGAAGATCATGAATTCCTTGGATTTTCCAGCTTTGTGCAAACTTGGTAAAAGAATTCTAATTGAAAGTTCACCTGACGTAATTGCCGCCCATGGATTTTGCACTTGAAATGCCTCAACAATGTTCTAGTATGACCTTGGAACTAATAACCAATGAGAAAAAAAATACATAAATATTCATGATTAAACCATATCTTAAAAGTAATATAGATATTCATAAATTTGTTTCAAGTGGAATAGAAAAATGTTTGGAAAACTATAAAAGGAGAATGGAGGAGAGTAACTTCCACCTACTTCAATTTTTGGAATATGGGAAATGTTGGTTGGACCAGTACTGGGAGTTTGGGCTACTCCGATTGGTGCAACTTTCTTCCAACTTTGGGCAGCGTTTAATTTCCAGGTTCCGTAATTTGGTGAGGGTAGAGAATCCCAGTGCAAACGTCCGAACACCACCAGATCACGAAGGGCCAACAGCTGCATCAAAGAAACGGGGAAACTACGTTTAGTTGAACACTACATAATTTGCATAAGCAGTTGAAGTATCAAAAGAGGATATATTCATCATTTGATGCATTCTTTAGCAGAATACTTAAAATATGAGGTGCTTGATGGGATGTTCCTCCTTTAACCAGATGTCTCGGGTTGGAGCCTTGGGTATTGAAAAATCCTTGGTGGGGAGTGCTTTACCTCGAATTGGGCCCTACACAGCACGA